GGTCAGGTTGGACGGGGCTCTGAGCGACCTGATCTAGTTGAAGATGTCCCTGCTCGTTGCAGGGGGGTGGGACTAGATGGCCTTTAGAGGTCCCTTCCAACCCAAACCATTCTGTGATTCTGTGATTCTACGACTTTTTTCTATTTTAGTGTTTTTATCTGAGTGATAGTAGGATGAGGGGAATTATTCAAACATTTTCATTGTATTTCTTTAGAGAGTGAATTTCTTCAACACTGTTGTTTGTAGGTACTGGAAAAACTTTGCTTGCTAAGGCTGTTGCCACAGAATGCAACACAACCTTTTTCAACATATCAGCATCCACCATTGTCAGCAAATGGAGGGGTGATTCAGAAAAACTGGTCCGGGTAAGAATTATTATCTTATTCATTATAGTTAAACAAACACCAGGTTCCCACTTAAAGAACTGGAGTTTAACACAGAACTGGAAAGTGAGTATTCCTCTGATACTCATCATCTTTCCTGTCTTGGACAAAACGTGTGACTCTGTTCCTATCTAGTTCTTAAAATGGCAATAACATCACTTCTGCAGAAGTGGATGGATTCTGGCTGTGGAATTTTAGTTCTGTAATGCAAGATGAAGCAAATGTCCTGAAGGCAGCAAAGATTTTTGACTCACTGAATAAGAGACAGAGTTCCTAACTAAAAGAGTGTTTGCTTACTGACCCCTTCAAAGCGCTTTCCTAACTAAAAGGGTGTTTGCTTACTGACCCCTTCAAAGCGCTTCATATCCTTTCTGTGAGGATTGGCTCCTAGAGTCCCTACAAAATGTTATTTAGATTCCCAAATTTGCTACTATTCTTAATCTTCAGGGCACAGAATTGGCAAAGAATTCCCTTGTCACAAAGATCTTATTAGTCAAACACAGATGTAATGTTTTAAGGAAGGTAGTTTGATGGTAAATGGGTAAATGTATTTTTGCATATAGACTAGCAAGTAGCATGCATGGCTCAACTGTGGTACAGAAAAATTCAGGGATTCAGGTGTAGCATCCTTGCCCTAAGATGCCCATCTTAATCTCTCCGTAATATCCACCATTTCAGTGTAAGAAATCCACAAGCTCTTAGCCTTCCTTTACGCTCATCTCTTGGGCTACACTTCAGATAGATACAGAGCTCTTGAAAATGAGTAATTGTAACAGATTGCACTCGGCAAATGGCATTACAAGCATTGTTAATCTCTCTTGAAATTTAGGCAATGTCTGCGACATAATTATTCTTCCTGTGTCCTTTGTCCTTTAAAATGGCACATTTTTCTTCTGACATTCACCTCCTATGTTATTGATCCTCTTGACATCTGTCTCAGTAGCTTCCTAGAAGTTTCCCTTCTGGCAGGAGTAGGGATGGGACTGTCTGGTTTTTGACACCATCCTCCAAAAGGTTTCTGTGAACATGCTGCAGCATTTGCCACGATATTGAATTTGTGGCATTTTACCCTTCATTGAGTTTTTGGCAGAATCCAGAAATGGATTGTGGATCAGGACAGCTCTAAGAAAAGTATTGTGTGAATTTATATCCTAAAATCACATGAGGCTGCTGCAGGAGTTTTCTGAAGTTGTGTGAAGTATATGTGGGTGTTGTGGTCACTTGGAGGCATGTCCACTCATCCTGTTTCTCTCAGTTCTCAGCTCTATTGGTGTGATTTTATATTCTAGATTTGTAGTAAAATTGCAGACTGGTCATGGACTACTTGTGACTCTGGGCAAATAATTTCAACCCTGTGCTTCATATCCAAAGTGTAGAAAATAATATATATCTTTTTAAATTCATTTTTTTAAGTGTTCAGATTAAAAAGTGCTGGATTAATACATATTGTTAGTGGTATTTATTTAAAAACTCAAAGAACACTTCACTGAAGAAGAACTGACGATATGTTCTTACCGCTAATATAAGCCTCTCCATGTTTACAGAAAAATAGGCGAAACTTCTTTCTCCAAAGGGCAGACCCGGATTTTTTGTGTCAGCTTAATATTCCATTTTTTAATCTTGATTGTTCAAGCAGTTTCTGTTTGTTTTCACCAGGAAAACCAAAAGAACTGCTTGATTCTTATCAAGAGAATCAGTCCATTTTCTTTCATTATGGTTCAGCTGATTTTTTTTTTTCTTTTTTCTCAAATCCTTATTTAAAAAACTACAAATGGAGCAACAACGAAAGACGGATGTTTAATCTCTGATATCAGTTTAGGAGTTCCCAGAATCCTCTGATGGATCATTTTCTTCTATCCCATTATTCACAGGGTACTCCGATAGGATTTAGCCAGCAAGATTTACATATAAAGACAGGATTACAAGCCTGTGTTCTTTATATCTTCTTTACAAACCTTTCAGAATTTGAGAGGATTCAGGGACCCTCAGCCTAGCCAGAGCTTTTTCCCAGCAGGTATCCCTTTTTGTCCTAGAAGTTAGGCACGTGGCTACTGTTACTTATCTTCTGTGCCTGTGGCCCTTAATGCCTTTTTGTGTTAGTTTATCCTTTCTTTCACATTTACTCTTCTCTCTAAACAGGTGTTATTTGAGCTTGCCCGGTACCATGCTCCTTCCACAATTTTCTTGGATGAGCTGGAGTCAGTCATGAGTCAAAGAGCCACTGCTTCTGGGTAACTGATGAGACCGCTTCCTATGGCTTTAGGAGAATATTTGTCCCCCCTTGACTGCATGTTTTCAATAGTGCGTGTGTGTTCAGGTGCTGACTGATGTTTAATCATAGAGCGTACCTCTTAGAAACAAACCTTAGCTGAACTAAAGCCTGAGGCTACTCTATAAACTTCAACAGGAGCACGAGTGGCCCCCTGAAAGACTTGTCTTTGTAATTACAAGACGTTGTAATTACTTCACATGATAATGGTAATTTTCTTGACTTTTTATTAAGCAATTTTTCTTTTGTTCCGTTGTCAACTTCAGGAGCCTTGTAGTGTGTAATTGTCAGAATGCCTGTCAGCTCCGACAGTACCGCTTCATGGAAGCCTTGCATGCGCTGTGGGGATTCAAAGAGCGCGATGTAGTGGTGGTTTCATTCGCAGTAGATGAGATCAGTAGAGAAGCGAGCGTGAAAGCCAGGTTGTGTGAAGATTAGCAAGGGACTGTGGGTCCAGCAAGACTGGGAGAAGGAGGGAGGTGCAAGAGTGTACAACCGCTGGTGCTCAATGTTAAAATAAGGGATTTGAAGTGGAAATAAAGGCAGTGGGGGCGAAACAACAGATGACTTTGTTAGAGGCGAGTAAGAAGCAGCTGATTTTGTGACACTTTGGACAGGCTTGGTCGTAGCAGGGTAAGATGGAGTGGACGCGGTGGAACGGGATTTTCATTCATGGGAGAAATTTTGGTGGCGTTGTCAGGACTTCCAGATGCAGGAATGGGAGGATGTTATTCTTGTCACCCATGGTGTAGACAGTTTATAGTTGAAAACAGATTGAAAAGGTTAGGGATGGGGAAGAAGCAGGAAAAATATAAAAACATTGTTATAACCATTAGGGGCCCATTACAGTGGATTTTATGTACTGTAAATTATATGCTCACAAAGATTTATAAATAGAATATGCCATATTGTAAAGATACAACTTGTAATAATTGTCAGTTAATAGCTATAATTATGGGCCAAATTTTGCTTTCCTATATAGTTTTAAAAGCTCTCATTAACATCACTGAATTACGTATTTTAATAAGGATTTTTATCTAAGATTATGTAGTTATTTTTACATATCCCTGTTAAATATTGACTTGGCACCGATGTGTGGATGCGTTTGCAGAAATATGCCATTAAACCTGAATTGTAGCTCTTACCATCTAAGGCCCTGATGTTTTCTCTGGGTTTGATCCAGGAGTTTCCAAGAACTCCACATCTGGGACCAAGAGTTCGCGTTGGTTTCCTGCAAAATTGGTTACCTGGATCAGGGCCAGGATTCTTAGCACTTTGCTTAAGTTCCCCTCCTCTTTTTGAGGAAGGATCCTTTCTGTGTGGTCTCTGCCCCATTTTTAAATTCATTTCAATACGGCGTATTTTTCTGTTTGCTTTTGATAGAACATTTTGCAAAATACTGAATTCAGCGGTAGGTGTATCTTCTTGTGGCCACTTAACATTCACTCACAGAAAAATGCCAGTAGTTGCCCTGCGTGGGTAGGTGCGTTAGTTATTTCATGGCAACTATCGCATTATAAAAATTCTCTTATATAGATCAATCAATCAAAGCCTTAGCTGTTTTCCAGTAAACGTCAATGTTGCGCGGAGATTAATATGAAGAAAAAAACAAAAATAAATGTTTTCTTTGGATTCAGTAATAGTGAATTCCCCTCACTTTAATGCACTGAAAAGAGTCCATTTAAGTAACCATTAGAAAGCTTGATTTTAATGCTTAGATGTTAGCTAATGGAGCTTAATCATGCTTTGAACTGGGGCAAAACTGTGACAAGGGCTCAGTTGCTGTGAATGACACTGTATAAATAAAGATGATTACTTTAATGCACTGAGCAAATAATATTTCTCTGAATCTTGGTAGTGGTGAACATGAAGGAAGTCGGCGGATGAAAACAGAATTACTGGTGCAGATGGATGGCTTGGCCCGATCTGATGATCTTGTATTTGTTTTAGCAGCTTCCAATCTGCCATGGTAAGAGATCCAGAGAGTACATTTTGAATACATTTGCATGAGCTTCTAAGCACAGATAAAGATTTTATTTAGACTTTTGCAGAAAAAGCCTTGATATTTGGTTAAAGCATTTAAAGATTAATTTGGAGCTTTTACTTTTAAACTCTACAGTTCTTGCTATTTGTGCCACATGAGAATAATCCATAATAAAGTCAACATATGCTGGTGCTACCAGCTGCTAATATTTAAAATGGAGTATTTGACTTCATAGGCAAGTTATTTACTATGTTTAAGCTAAGAAGGGTTTCAGCCTGGAACTGTAAGGTGCTTAAAACATCTAGTGCTTAGAGGGATACTCCATAAATAGGAATGCTGGATTTTATTGGTATCAAACGTGACTTTTAAACGTCGAGGGACAAAATTCTTCAGTTTCTTTAACATAATTTAGAACAGAAGAATAAACGGTTTAAGATTGGGACTAGGGCGCTTCATCATGTTGGTTCTCAAAATGGGCAGGACGTATTGAGAACAAGGCAGACGGGAGAGGGTGAGGTAGGGAGGTAACGTTAGTGGTGTAACGACTGCGGATGCTCGGGGGGGTCCAACAGACAGCAGAAAATGGCCAGCTCACGTGCTCTCCTTGAGTAGCGTCTCCCGTGGCCACTGTCAGAGCCAGCATGTTGATCTGGCTTGATCATTCACCTGAACTAGTGTAGTATATCTTTTTCTTTCATACAAAACATTATCAAATGGTTGCAAATGGTACATGGGGAAAACAACGGCTGCTGGTTAAGCACAGCTATTTTTAACAGTCTGATTTGTAGCTCACTAATCATTTCCCAGAGTAGGAGCCAACACCTGTACAGGGAATCGAAGCACGTTGATGACGGGCTTGTTTTCGTAGGTCTGGAACTAGTCTGTGGATTTCTGCCTGCCCTGAGATTCCCCCTGTCCCTGGGCTACCAATCCATGAAATCTTCAGTGGGAGAACATCTTTCCCAACAGAGAAATCTGGGCGTTGGAAGCAGAGAGGGGAACCTCAGCAAAGTAAACTGTGGAAATTATCTGTTTGGTGAGGGACAGTCTTGGAGGCAGATGTCTGCAAAAAAGATGAGTTAGGCATAAGAAGGGGTTTTTTCCATGCTTCCTCCTCTCTCTGAAGTGTACGTGAAGCAGAGAAATACAAGGTGTCTGCTGCGGGCAGACTGAACGTTTTGCAATTTGTTGATCATCACAGCACTGAGGTTTTTCTTGGTATCTGTGTCCCTAAAGGCGTGCAGACCTAAGTGGGCCTAATCACCTCTCGCACGTAGAGGTGGTCAAGCTAGGAGTCTGAAAAGGAGAAGGCAGCAGTCCTGTTTCCAGGGAACTTCAAACCATGGTCTGGGAAACGTTTGGTGGAGCCCAATGGCAGGTGTTCCCGGGAATGACCTTGCGTGAGCCGCAGCTCTGCAGCATTTCAAGTGGCGATACTTGAAATGTGACTGAAAGGCGCATTGTTCATTGATGTGACGGTGTGAGAGCTGCAGAGCAGGGCATCCAAAACTGGCCGGGAGCAAGTGAGGGCTCTGCACCCACAAAACCACAGGCTTCATTCGGATTGTTTTTCATGGTTAGTGATTTTTGGCTGATTCTCATGAGGTTGACACAGGGAGACGTGTTGGAAAAGCCTCTCCGTGTGACCGGAGGGCTCTGGGCTGTGATCAGCAGGCTGTTGCTGGCCGTAGGGAGTGTCTGAGTCTGAATGACACAGTGTGTGTAACCACAGCTGCTTGCTTTTGAGTACTTACAAAAAAGCATCAACTCCCAGTGCGTATTTTATTTTGTATAATGTACGTATGCAGTTCTCGGTCATGACACACCACCTAACGTTCCCTCACAAAGTTTGTGGTAATGCTTCATTCCTTTCCTCAGCTGATCCCCTTTTTGGCAGGCCTGGTTGAAAGGCCAAGGGAGCAGGCAAAGAGAATTAAACAACAGAAGTGATGTCGGTGCCTCAGAACAGAGGCCCAAAAGTAATATTTTCAATCACTCCCATGGGGCCTGTAAGCCTGGCCCATTTCAAAACACGTTGGTGCTGAGAAGCCCGAGTCCTTCAGAGACGCAGAAGAATGTGGGTCCCCAGGTCTCCATGGCTCTGTGGACGGCTCTGCCGTACAGTATTTCCTGCGTGAGGAACAAAGGGGTGGTTTTACCCCAGCCCGTCATCTTTCGTGAACTTTGTGGGCAGTGTTCGCATCACATAATTTTGGCACCTAAGGTAGGAGGCAAGTTTCCCCTGCTATGAGACAGTCGACAGCAGAACAACAGATGCAGCAATTCAGAGCAATTGAGAGACCCACCGGCGTCAGTGCTGTTTAACATCTTCATCAGTGACTTGGACAATGGGACAGAGCGTGCCCTCAGCAAGTTTGCAGATGGTACGAGACGGGGAGGAGTAGTTGATAGACCGGAGGGTTGCGTTGCCGTTCAGAGGGACCTCGGCAGGCTGGAGGAATGAGCCCACAGGAATCCCATGAAAGCTCAAGTGCGGGTGGTCAAACACTGGCACAGGTTGCTCAGGGAGGTTGTGGAGTCTCCATCCTTGGAGATGCTCAAAACCTGACTGGATGCGGCCCTGAGCAACCTGCTCCGGCTGACCCTGATGTGAGCAGGGGGTTGGGCTAAATGATCTCCAAGAGATGCCTTCCAACCTCAGCCATTCATGTGACGGTGTACATCAAAGCAGGGGCCTAATTAGGTACCGTGAGAGTAATTCAAAGTATTTCTCTCTTCTGAATGTAAGAAAGCCTAAGGGGAGTGGTCTTCTAAGTTAGGCATAGAGGCACAGCTGCTGCATAGAAACAAGCGGTGTGTCACCCTTCACTATCCCTCATGAAAATTAGACAAAATAAATACCTAAGAAGTCACTTGAGAATTACAGGGTTCTTCTTCTGGAGTTTCTGTCCATCGTGGGAAGAGATCCAGTCCACCACCTCCTACAAGTCTGTCTTTCCCTCTACATTTTCTTTCCTACTGCAAAACCTTATGTTTCCCATACAGTCAAGGAAGGATGCTTCCGAGAGCCACCAGGCAGACATCTCACCTGCTGAAATTCAGGTGCCAAGAAGGCGACATATACAGGTTTTCACCTGCCTCTCCCTGTGGCCTGCCCAGGGCTTTCAGGCTCTTTAACTAAGAGAATGGCGCTGTGGGCACCTCAAATTTATGTAGAAATGAGATGTACGAGTTAGGCTGGTTCCTACCCTGGACCGTTAGCGTGAGTACAAAGCCATCGCTGGCTTTTATAGCCATAACAGCGGAGTCTGTGTGTTGGTTTGGGGGATTTAGGCCTTGGACAAACTCATGAATTCAAATCAGTACAAAGACCACCTTTCCGTGGTCTCTCAAATTATCCTGTGAGTAGCTAAGCTTCACATGTAATGCTGCAGCATGGCAGTATTAAAAAAGATCAGATGTCTTTAGAGGATCCGTGTCTTTCTACTCTTGCACACTGGTTTGAAAGGAAAAATTGGGTATTTGAAACCCACTGAGGAAGAGTTCAGAGATAGCAGCTGGTCTGAAGGTCACCGTGTGGCTGGTGCTGGATCTAGGGATCTTGGAGATGTGTTAACGTAAGCGCGAGGCTGACCTCTCTCTGCTTCTGTGGAAAGAGATTCCTGCGTGTGTCTTGTTACCATGTCTGCCTTACGCAACTGATAAACTCCTTCTGGAAAGTCATGCAAAAATTACAGAATACAGTTTTGAGTGTTTTACACATTTCATTTTGGATCATTTTGCAATTCTGAAGTGCTAATATCTGCAAAATTGCTTCTTTGAAACATCAAAAATAACACAGCTTTTTTTTAAGGTAGATCCAAAATGACAAGATTTCTATTTTGGGGGAACTGTTCCCACAGCAAGCTGGCAATCTGTGTTGGTACGAGGGTGGCAGCTGGGACGTTGTGAGAAGCCAGCTCTCGCTTTTGAAAGTTTTCTACCCGCGAGCTTAGAATTTCCTTTTGGACTTTCTCAACATTGCTCGTGGGCAGGTTGGATTTTGCCCTCTCTTAAGCAAATCCAACCTATGAGTGTAATGACTAGGTTGTCTGGCAGACCTGTGCCTACCGCAGAGAATATGCTTTTAAGATGTGGGTGAGTGTATGCTTAGAAAGGGGGATGGAAAGCTAGTGAAAGCCATGAGCATCTTCTTACGTCGTCATTGAGGCTCACAGCCTCGAGGAATTTGGGAGCGTCTGCTTCCAGAGAGGTCGGTGGGGTTTGAACCCCCTTTAAGATCTCAACTATATGTTTACAGATTATATTTATGTGTATTAGGCAACATTCAGTCCTACTGGAAGACCCCAGACTTCAGCTGCATAGGGATATTTCATGACAAAGTTTCAAAATACCTCAGACTACAGTCCGAGGTTGTGGCTTCACAGCACAGCCCTTTGTTCTTGCAAACATTTGGGATTAAGCTGGATTTCAAGAGATTTGTTTAACTCGGATATTTATTGATCATGAAAAAAATTAGTACCAAGCTGCTTTTAGATGAATGAAAAGAAGCCTAAACAAAGCTCTTTACGCTCTCCCAAGCTGCACTGCAGCTATTGATCTTCCTCTTCAGCCAGTGCTTGCTGCCCAGCCTCGCTTCCTGCTACTCATCAGCGAGGCACTTTCTATTGACAAATTACCTGTTGAAATGATTCAACGTAATTAAATAAAATAAAGGCCTCGTTACTGAAGAAATAAAGTGACCCCCTAACCACGTAGTGAATGTTTCCTAATGTATTAGTGCATTTAATTCGACTTCCATTGCAGTGCTGCTTTCTTCTCCCTCCCCAACCTCGGGGTGGGTGAAGCTTTGGTGCAGGCTGATAGACTCTTCCCTTCTGTCCAAGCCGAGTCCTGTCGGAGCCGTGAGCGCACGGCCAAGATGAGTTCAAGAAGAGGTGGGTTGCGAAATCCAAATCAGATCTGGGATTACCCTGCAGTGAGCCCTTTCCTTCACTCTCAGCAGCGCACGGTGTGTACGGTGGAGGAGAGCGAGGAAGGAAAACGGAGGAGGACGGTGTGGGGAAGCCCTAAGAGGAGCAGGAGAAGATGTAGAGTGAGAACAAGCCCTCAGCTTGTGGGGGGTCTGCCCGGGTCGTCTGCACAGGAGGATGGGAGGTGGGAAGGATGAGAAGCTCACTCGTTCTTGGTGCCTTTTCCTCCAGAGCACTGCAGTGACGACTGCCCTGGGCAGGGATTAATTATGGACCGGTCAGCCCTTGTTGCTGTTTCTGGGTTCACCCCTGGAGCTGTTGAGGGCTCTTAATTTCTACCTAAAATGCATTTGTTACTCTTCTCCCTTCTGGAAATGAAAATAGGAGTTTTGTCTTGTTTATCTTCGTGAAATTTGGGAGTGATAACATGGCATGATGCCTCCTGATGTCAACCTGGGGGAGCTCCAAAAAGTCACCCGCTTTTATAGGTCCCGTACAGCTTTGTGTATCTTTTCATGAGCATTTCTTAACACTTTTATTGGCTATTACTTCAGAGGATATTTTGGTTGGCTCAGTGCTTATTATTCTGTTCTGGTTCATGTCACTTAACCTTGCATTTGATCGCTAACAAAACAATTCGGCAAGCAACCTAAACACTTAACAAAAATATTATGTCTTCATTTTCCTCTTTAACCAACAAGCAGGGTCACTGTAACCTTTCTGGATAAACAGAGCAACTTCTGTGTGTCAGGGGACGTATTTACAGAACATGGCTAGGGAGCTCATGAAACTGTGATCTTGGGGGACACCCCAGGAGTGCTCTGAAGTGGGAGGAGTGGTGGAAAACGTCATCGTTTAGAGGATTTGTAGGGTATTTGCAGAGACTCTGGCTGTGATTGTCCTTTGCCTGCAAGGGCGGTTTAGAGTACTTGCATGGGCGCTTCTAAAACCCTGAGAACTTTTACTCTGTTTACGCGGAGGATGGTAATATGGGTAAATAACAGCCAAGGGGTTGGTCAGCCAGAGAGTAATTATTTCCTGCCAAGCAAAACAATTTTCAGGAGAAGTTGAGCTGAAAAATACATTTGGAAGGAGTGTGGGGACTAAAATGGTTCTTTGTCTGGTCTGGGTGGGACCCTGTGCGAGAGGCGTTGCACTGAATGTTGGACGGCATCTTGAACAGCCTAAAAATATCAATAATAATGTCAATATACCAACAGCCACTGATTAGCAAACTCTGGTATTTACTTCTGAGGCCTTGATTAGAAGTACTGGGATGGATCTGAGTGAATTCCTGTTGTCCTCCGAGTTCCTATTGGTCTGGTTTATCTAACCTTTGCTTCCATTGCCCTTGGCTCAGCACACGTGGAACAAGCCCTCCCAGTCTGAGAGGTCCTTTCTGGGGAGAGGGACACTTCTGCTCCCGCTGAGCTGAGAGCCAGGCGTGCTGAGGTCTGTGGGAAGCCTAGGCAGGCACCTGGATGGGGATTTGGGAGCCCATTTTTGGTTTTCTTTATCATGTGCTATGCCAGTAGAAAACATTTGCTATTAAAAAATAAGGAGAAGTCACCAAAGGTGCCAGAAATAAGCTCTACTGGTGTGCTACAGATCCATCCTGAGCTGGCTTGGAGTTCCCTGTAAATTAAAGAGGAGTTTCATACAAGAAGCGTTGCTTGAATGTTGACTTTGCTGGCAAAAAGATTTCACCCAGGGACTCGGGAAAGGTAGAGGCAGGTTTATTTAAGTGTACCTACGGTCCCAGATTGCAGGGACAGTCCGCCAACAGCTGGCTCCTCCTGCTCAGCCGACAAGGGTGGAATGGTGCTCAGGGCTCCGGTTTTTCTGTCCGCACAAGACACACTGAAGTGTGTTTCCCCTCGATGAGAATTTCTCGGCAGGTATGAGGACTGAATTATATTTTAAACTGAAATAATAAGTCTGTGACTGAATGGGGCCAGTAGAGACAGATCGGTACAGCACTTGGAAGGGTAATAGCTCAGAGCAGCTCCTGGAAGGCACCAGAGACTTATGAGTGAGTAAATATTTTGTAGCAGCTATCTCTTCTTGAAAATTGTATGGGTGACTGGAGTACTTGTACACCGTTCCCACTACACAAGTGACAAGGGATGAACTGGAGTAGGAATTTGTATTCAGTTGTTTGGTTGTGTTACCGTTAGATGCGAACAACTGAAAAGCACTTGGGGAAAAAATAGATGAAAATGAACTGTTTGGCTGCGTGTCTGAGGGGAGCTGGCGTGTCGGGCATACCAGGAGTCCTGATGCTTGACAGAATCGGTGGCACTGGCAAGAAGGACTGTTTCTAGATGGTGATGAAATGCATTGAGAAAGGAACGGAAAGAAACGTTCATTTTTCTTTCAAGCTTCCTTTGTGCATCACAAGCAAGTAAAAATGAAGAGGAGTCCCAATCTTTTCTATTTTACCTTTTTTTTTTTTTTTTTTTTTTTTTTTTGTTAGGCAAAACACCTTTATCAGTGTTGATGTTGACAGCATCGTGGGTTTTGGCTCACTGACACATTTATCCAGCCTGTCCATCCTTCACATGATCTTTTTTATAAGGATATTTTCCTTTGTGGCTGTATTGTTTATCATTTGTATGGCAGGAACAGTCTCAGATCGATGTCTTGTTCTGCCATAAACATGGCCCTTGCATCTAAGACCTTCAGTCTGTATTTTATACCTACAAAGCATCCCTTACGAAGTAGCAATTAATTAGTATTGACAGTGCTCCAGACAGACAATTTGTAGTGTCTCCTTAACAGCAAAGGGAGAAAGGGAGAGGTTATTGCTGATGAGACATAGAATCATAGAATCATAGAGGTCTTTTCCAACCTCAATGATTCTAAGATCATCGAGTCCAACCGTCGACCCAACACCACCATGTCCACTAAACCATGTCCCTAATGCTGCAGATGAGTATCAGAGCCAGGGAAGATAACTAAAACTTCTGATGGTTATTGTTAAGCCTCATTGTCACAAGCCAGCGTATCGCTAAGACGCTGAACAGGAATACACTGGATAATTAATCCTTCCCCCCCCCCCAAAAAAAAAAAATTAGGTTGACACAGTTACAGGTGGGGTTGAAAAATGTCAGTCCCTGCTGCGAGGAACTTGCTGTCAAAGCCATGTCTCCGCAATGAGACGCGCTGAGACGATTCCTCTCCTCCTTTGCTTGCAGGGAGTTAGATTCTGCCATGCTGCGGCGGTTGGAGAAGAGGATTTTGGTTGACCTCCCAAGTGAAGAGGCACGGCGGGTGATGATCCAGCACTGGCTGCCTCCTCTGAGCAACAGCGGAGGAGTGGAGCTGAGAACGGCTCTGGACTACAGCTTGCTGGGCCAGGTGAGACAGCACCGCAGCAGGGACAGTGCCCACTCGGTGCTTGAGGTCCTTCCGGGTGGGAACCGTAAGCAAGAGTGACATACATCACCCACAGCGGTGGGACTATGTTGCAGCAGAAGCGGTCGGAAGCAGAGGGTTGGGACGGCACCTCTGTATACAGCAACTGCGACATACAGAGCTGGGGGAAGGACCTCAGCTCAGCCGGAGGCTCCAGCCAAAGGGAGAGCAGCAAGGCACGGGGCTGAGCATTTCACAGGCACCTACCTGGCCGTGGAAATCGCTGGTTTCACACAGCTCCGCTTGCAAAATGGTGTATTCTGATCCTCTCTGTTGGGCCAAGTTTTCAGCCTTAAATACAGGGAGACTTCCAGCAACAGTATATTTTATGACTCTTCTCACCAGGCTGGGAGCAATTCCAATTCATCGGGGTAATGAAGACTTAATTGTGTAGGGAAGGTTTGTCACAGCTCCACTGCTGCGGGAGAAAAGAGCATTTAGCTGGTGAAAAGATTCACGAGATACCCAGGCTTTCTTCATTTAGCCCTTTGTCACACCCTGAATTCTTTCAAAATATCTTACAGCTTACCCAGTTGGCCCTTTTTATGTCTGTTCACAGAGACAATACTGCTCGGTTTTTGTTTCGTAGATGTTAACGAGGAAATACAGTTATTTTGTTAACAGGGAAGCTGGGAACAGATACAGAAAGATGAGTTTTAAGAGACAGAAAGATGAGTTTTATTTGACTTACAGAAAATCGCCCTTTAGAAAGAAAATGCCCAGTATCTTGTTCCTACAAGGTACTGTGGGCATTCAAGACAAGAACAAGCAACGTAACGTTGAGGGGAGGGAACACATAAAAATATGTGTGTTTGTGTGTACATATATACACACACATCTATTTCAGACAGGAATAGACTTTACAAATATTATATATAAATATATATGCTTGTAAATGCCATTCCTGTCCGATTTGTAAGCCTGTAAGCTGTAACGTCTCGTTCTGATCCCGTCACAGGAAACAGACGGGTACTCCGGCTCAGACATAAAACTGGTGTGCAAGGAAGCAGCCATGAGACCAGTGAGGAAAATTTTCGATGCTCTTGAAAATCCTCAGCCAGGTACCGCAGCTCTGAGTAGAGAATCCGATCCGGGAAACGCTGATCTGCTGCTGTAACTCTAGAAATTACAACGTTAACCCCAGCAGGTGGAGCTCTGTTATCTGCCTAGGAAAGTTTTAAACTGTACATTTCTAAAACATGTACCTACGCTAACGCTTCTGAAAATCAGGCCTTTTTTTAAGGCTGTCAGTATCTGTGCTCTGTGCACAAATACAAATTTTTCTTTATCTCACTAGGTTTATTCTGTTGTTTTCGTATATGAAGCGTTGCATTAGGCAGGGACATGAAAGAATGTCTTTTGGTAATAACAGTAATCAATTCTCTTCTCTTTAGGTAACAGTAACTTACCCATGATCCGATTAGACACGATCACAACAGCAGATTTCCTGGATGTGATCGCCCACACCAAGCCGTCAGCAAAGAATCTAAGCCAGAAGTACACAGCTTGGCAGAGAGAATTTGAGTCGGTTTGAAAAGAAAAACCCCAAAAGATTGAAAACTTCCAAGACTTTTGCTATCCAAAATGGCATCGCCTTGCCTCCGAAGGATCAAACGGCGATGGGGAAGGAAGTGCCGTTGTTTCCAGGAAAGAGGATGCAGTGAGAAATGTCAGGGGGAAATCTTCGCTTTCAAAATTCAATGGGGGGGTGGTTGGTTGGTTATTTTTTGTTAGCCGTTTTCCATGACGATTCACAAAACATTCTTCGTGGAAATAGTGTGATGGCAGTTGGTATGTAATGAGGACTCCAGCCTTAATTTTATGTATAAAGACGTAGAGATTGCTTGCTTGTCGGTCTTTATTCGTGACAGTTGTTTACAGGTTTGAGGTAGAAGACCTGGAGCAGAAAGCTTGTTAAGAACAGCTAGATGATTAGTGTAACTCTCCCTTTCTGCGACTCGCTAGAGCATTGCAGTCAGCGTAGCTTTGCCAGCAGAGACTGTACCCTTTTTAATGAAACGTAAGTCGCTGCTTTCGATGAAATTCGGGACCTTTGCAGTGCCTTGTAAATTTGGTTCGTTTGTCATCGTTTTCAGCTGAGATCAAAGCCTTGATGTGCCAAATGTGTTACTTTCCAGTTGGTTTGGGCTATTTCCAAGGTGGAAAAGGCAAGGAATTAGAGGAACTTGGAGACATTGTAGAAAATCAGCAGATTTAGGCTTAATCTAACTAGAAACTGGATTGGTGGTTCGCAGCCAGCCGTAAAATGCAAACGGCGAGTCTTTGCAGCGCAGTGGTAAATACTAGCCAAGTTGGAGACTTTTCTGCTTATAACCATGGCCTGGTAACCAGTCAGGACTGCCACCTGTCCCTTAATCTCTTAATTAGAAATTCTAATCAGTCCTGTTTTCAGGCTCTCAGGTCTCATGGCTGCCCCTCTCTTACCCTCCCTCTTGCTTGGCGAGACTGTTATCCTCTTTGCAGCTCTGCCAGGGTTTTCCTTGCATGGGCTTGCGTGCAGCTGCCTCTCTAACTACGTACCACGGTCTTGCATGCTTTCCAGCACGCTCCAGGACCTCTGAAGCACTGACAGCCTCTTTTTGTTCTAGCGTCAGTCACGTTGTCAGAAGTCTGTACGGGAAATGTCTTCACAGGATTTTGCTTACAGGTCTCTCGCCTCCTGAACCCGACTCTGACTACGGGCCAAAGACCTCCCTTACATACTCCAAGCAGAAACCAACACAGGTTCAGAATTGTTGGCATGAACACTAGATGCGTGAATTTATTCAAAGCTGGAGGTTACAGTTTGTGAGGGCACACAAACAGTATCTAAAGATGGGTTTTGTTCCTGGGGGGGTTTATTGTTTCTTGTATTTCTACTGCCGAATCTACTCCGTCCACACGTTCTGTCTCGGACAGAGATTAGATCTGAATGCAGGTAACCACCCACCAAGTGAGACTGCAGGTGGACGGTCTTTCACGTAAGGAGAGCTTCCCATTCATTCTTCACGATGATTTTTCTTAACAAGAACAAGCAAGGCTTATTAACACAAAACTGTATTTTCAATAAGGTTAATACTCCGGTAACGTATAATTACAATCTAATAATTTAACACTCAGCAGCACTGTAAAACAACTGTAGAGGACTTTGATTATTACAGTTCACAAATGGACCAGAAAAGCTATTTACCATCATTACAAAGTTGGTTCTTGTCGGTGGCTTTAGCGCACAGAAAAAGCATGGCGTACTACAGAATTAAATCTCATTTTACAGCTCTGCTAACCAACTGTGTAAAAACTGGAATCTGTCCCCATGGCTTATGAAGGATTTTTCCCGTAACATTAAAAAGAAACAACAAAACCCCAACAACAGTGAAATTTTGCAACTGTAGCATTAATAGGACCCTGCTGAAGTCTAATTTCAAGAATTCACAGTCTCTAAGGCATTTAATACCAGATTTTTGTTTCTGTACCATTCTTTTTAATAACAGCATCTAATTAAAACATCTGTAAAATGCTGACAGTTTTAATTTTATGTAAAATTTGAAAAACAAAACCCAGGATCTGTTCTAATGAGAGGAAAGATCTCAACAGCAGTTATTATTAAACAATGGTGATATTTTAATTTAAAAGTCACTTCTAAATGTGCCTAATCTCTACCTTTAAATTAGAGCAGAGCAGAATCATACTCAGTGAAATCACTACAGGCTGACTCAGGCTCTGTTAGTCTTGGAGGTTTATTTACTTGAGTATTTCCAGTGGGGTTTTTTTTCAGTTTAGCTTATTCAGCAGAAGAACGTGACACTTTCCAGACAGGGCTTTTCATCAGTTATTTCTTGCAAACTGGAAATAAACAGACCTCTCTGCCGTGCTCCCTACGTCGTTCAGGAAAGCAGCTGTGCTGGTTGTAGCCTTTCTGTCTCACCTGCCAGGTATCCGCAGTCCCTCATCACAGCCTCGTGAAACTACTACAGGAAAGGGGCTTTGCCGTGACTGGGCCGGGGCCCACACCGATCCTCTGCCCTTTCACGACTCGAGTGGCAGGAGCTCACGGCTAGGTTTCTGATGCAATGCATGCACTGATCCTGTGGCCTTAATTTTTGAAGCAAGAGTAAAGGAAATGATGTGAAACAGAGGTCTTGTCAAACTAACTGTTCCCTTTCTCACAGCAGACGCTCTAGGATATGTTCCACTGCCTCTGGGAAATTCTCACAGGTTAAGTAAGGAGCGGGATTGATTTTGTCTTCATCTGCCGGTCGATATTTACCTGTAACAGATTAACAAAAACATACATTTACCAAGTTCCTTTGGGTATCCTTTTTTTTTTTCCCTGAAAATTACAGCTTCCTCGGATCAGGAGGAATGCCCATCTGAGGTTCCCCTGCAACAAATATCTCACAAGTCTTCCCTAAACAACCACCGAGCCTTACAGAAGATTCCTCCAGGGGTGGCTCTGGCTCAAAATTAGCGTTACTTACGCACTGGTTTCACTCCACTGTACTAGCACTATTCTTTCACTGACTGTTCAGATATTCGTGTTGTAGGTTCTTGAAATAATAATAATGTTATCATCTTCCCTTCTGGGTTTTATGAGGAAGAGTAGGATTACTTGCTTTCATTTTCAACATAATGGACTGTGTGGCATGAGCAGCTGCCACCTCAGAAAGACCTTACCCAGTCCATGGTACCATCAATAATACCCGCCAGTCCCTTAGGGTTCCACTTTTGTCTGAAGCAAAATTACTTCTATAATTACCAGTGTAATTACTAGGGAATGCCATCAGAGTTCCTGAATGATTAGAGGTTGCATTGCTATGACCGATTTTGGCAAGCTTAAAGATGTCACAGTAACAGTTCTCTCTGTTCTTCGACCAGCGCTCGGGATTTTGGAGTCATGGGAAAAAGATTCACACCTACAAGATCAGCCGCCCACGTCTATTACTTCCTACCATCCAGCTCCCAGTTCGGGGGTCTGTGCTCCAGCCCTGTTGTTGAAACATTAAATATAATGGCCTATCCTGACTTAATCGCAATCTACTGCTTGACAGGCTGCCACGCTGCAGCTGAGGAAACGTATCTGCTGCACTCACCCCAAAATGAATGGGGTGATGGACTCGGGGTCTCCCAGCAGCCCCTCGGTGTGACAAACCGCGGGCATGGCGGGCCTCTACAAGGCACCAGGGCCAGACCCAGGGCTCAGAGCGAACCTTTGCTTTGGGCACGGGGGGCTGCCAGTACCCAGGGCCAGATCACTGAGTGCACTGCTGTCTCCCGAAATGACCGATCCATCGAGTACTTACCGGTCCTTACCAAAATCCCACGCATGCCCGCATTCTGGGCGCCACCAACATCATCCCTGCAGTCCTGGGACAGAACGGGAGATCAGCTGGTTAGTGGGCACAGACACTATTTGTTAACAGGTTTTTCATGACGTTCTCTGCCTTGTACATCACTAATCAGCCACTTAAAAGCAGTCAAATCCTGTAGCTACCTGTTAGACAAACTGTCACGGGAATGATTTACTACGTGCTTTTTGCCTGATCAAATAGCGACCGACGCGAGAGAACTGACCCCATGGACTACACGTTCAATCCTGCAAGTTTGATGGTTCAGTTTTCACCCCTCGTCTAAGCACAGCGCTTTTCGAAAGATCCATTCGTGGCATTTGGGAGGCACGACACACAGCGGAGATGGGCACTACGTTAACAGGCAAGTGATAAGGTATTTGGTCCCCACGTACGTCACCAATCATGACGGCCTCTTCTGGGGCACAGTCAGTCCCCCGCAAAGCTTCTAGGAAGAAGGTTTTCTCTGGCTTCCCCACCACTGTCGCTTTGGTGTCCGTCGCGTATTCCAGCCCAGCTACAAAAGGTCCAGGTCCCAGAGCCAAGCCATCTTTTCTCTTGAAGTATCTGGCTTTATGAATAGCTATAAGAGGAGCACCATCCAAAATCAACCTAAATGAAGAAGGAAGTACAAAAATTATATTAAAACCCCCCGATATTTACAGCTGAAGGCCTGAACTGGCTTTCGTTTAAGTTGACAAAGCTCCCGCTGACTTTCACAAAGCCCCAGATTATAATGCAAGCTAGCATTCGTTTGGACAGTTAAAGTTCCTTCCTTACTCTTCCCCAGAAACAGCTAGTAAAACAAATCCCCCAAATAAAGAACTTATTATCTTGAGGATTTTAACAGGGAACTATTTTTAAATCCGGTCTATATCTCTCATGTGATTAGGTCCATTACTCTTAAGCAGCCTCACTTTTCACTAAGGCAAACATCCTAACATTAGAACCCATCTGATTTCCCCACGCAAGTATTTTAAAATACATTAACCAC